AACAGGGATAATAATATAATCCATGTAACATAGAAGTACAAATAGCGAATGTCCATAATCCTTAAATAATTACTGTATATAAATATGTAGCGTGAATAAGTTTTTGAATATGTGAAGAGTAAATTAGTAAGAATTAAATGCCTTAAAGAAGTACAGGATTAAGTTTGTAACGTGAGACCCAGCGACCGACAATAAAAAATTACCGCACTTGACTGGCCGATAATTCCTAAGTAAGGAAAAAACATGCGACTACAGAATTACCTAAAGGGAAGCACTTAAAAGAAAATATACAATAATCCGAACATGAAAACAGGAAGAAAACTTCCCTACTTCGCAGAAACAGAGAAAATAACAGTTGATAAGTAACTGCGTGAATGAGATATTAAGTCAGTGAAGGGGGGGGGGGGGGAAAGAATTAAAAGTGTGTAGACCGCTTGACCTGTAAGTTTTTTAGCTTAAATTCTTAAAGAGTATGAATAGACTTGACCTTAACTGTAATCCTATTGGGACGTGACAGGATGATCTCACGCGCCAATGCTACCGAGGACTGAAGAAGGATTAACTTAATTTACCCACTAAATGAAATGCACGAGACTGAGAAAATTAAGTTCCAGTTAAATTAAGCAGCCTAAATAATTAACTATTGTGATTAAAGTTTCAGTTAATTTATTGAAGGACGAATTGAAAGGGTGTGAGAGAATACGTAGCTTCATATGTTATTTACAAACTTGTAAATCCACAAGGCCCCAGCGTTTCAAGAAGAGGGAAGTATCGTCACCAACAAAGGAGTAGCCGAAGTAATACAGAACATAGTACCTAAGTACCACCGAGGTAACAGGAATAATAAAGAACGCATGTACAATTAATAGAAGAGCTAATAACGAATGACCCTAAGCCTTAGTAAATTAAGGTCTATAAATATGTATCTTGAATAAGTAATAAGTGTGTAAAGTGTAATTTAGTAAGAATTAAATGGGGATAGTCTGTTTAACCTGAAAGATTTAGGCTTGAAAGCTGAAAGAGGAAAATTAATACTTAATCATAGCTGTAATCCAACGGGAACGTGGCTTGAAAAGCTCACGCGTCCCTGCACCCAAGGTCAGAAGAAGGGAGTAACTTAAGTTACCAGTTGTCTAAATGAATACCGCACCAAACCCCATCCACTGTAAAACTTATATTGAAGAGTAAAACCTTAATCTTAACATTAATTCAAAAGGAAAGACTGCAATATCCTGCCCCGAAGGGATTTGATTGGCTTGAACGATCGTGCGCAGGTATTAATTATATTCAAATATAATCCAACATAATAATAAAAATAGAATACTCCGAAGTAATCAATATAATAACTATATGACCCATATAAAATACATATCAACGTAAAAGTACCCGATAAAATGAATATAAGGAAAAACAGTTCTTTAACCATAACTGAGACCTGCTTGTGTCCGGAGAGACACACACACAAGAAAATTAAAATTGTGGTAACTGAGTCCCATACAGCCCGCAAAGAACTGCGTCCATTACAGTCTAAAATTAACTGAGTCGATTACATTGAAGTCCATCATATGTTGTCCTCCGCATGCAGGCCGACAAATAAATTGATTTACCTATTGCGATTAAAGTTTTAATTAAGAAGCGTTAAGCGGAAGATAAGTATAAGATTGGATTAAAGAATAACCACTTAATGTGTAAACCACAGCTTATATTCTTAATGCTGGAGACTAAAAGTTTAAATGACTGTGACATGCATGTGTCCGGACGGCACTGACTCCATAAATATAAGGATGATAATAAATATAAGAAATATAAGGTCCAATACAGCGGTTTCCATAGTAAGTTGCTCTCCGAATGCGTGGTACGTTTATCAGCCTCGTGAATTTGCTGATTGCACATCAGCTGTAACGGCAGCAGACGGAGCGTCGTCACCTATTGAATAAAAAAACAATTTTTGGGGGGGATGTCAAAGAGATATTTATTTCTAGTGTGGTGAAAATGGGTCCTTGCGTCTGTCCAGGGAGATTTTCGGAGCAGCAAATTATAAAATTGGTTACTGAGTCCATTGCAATGATCTCCAACATCTGAAGTCGTTGTTGGTGGGACTTCCTGCTACACCAGCGGTCAAACTGGTACAGCCAGCGGCCAGGGACAATCCACGTCCAGGGCAAACCAGCAGCCAGTGATGCTGCATAAGAAATTTTCGGGCTTAACCGTCAGACAATAAGTCTGGCAATCCAGCAGCGAGGCGGCCGCATAATAATTCCGGGCTTAACCGGCAGACAAAAGGTCTGGCAATCCAATAGCGAGGGCGGCTGCATAATAATTCCGGGCTTTAACCGGCAGACATAGGTCTGGCAATCCAAAAGCGAGGGCGGCTGCATAATAATTCCGGGCTTAACCGGCAGACATAGGTCTAGCAATCCAATAGCGAGGGCGGCTGCATAATAATTCCGGGCTTAACCGGCAGACATAGGTCTGGCAATCCAATAGCGAGGGCGGCTGCATAATAATTCCGGGCTTAACCGGCAGACATAGGTCTGGCAATCCAATAGCGAGGGCGGCTGCATAATAATTCCGGGCTTAACCGGCAGACATAGGTTTGGCAATCCAATAGCGAGGGCGGCTGCATAATAATTCCGGGCTTAACCGGCAGACATAGGTTTGGCAATCCAATAGCGAGGGCGGCTGCATAATAATTCCGGGCTTAACCGGCAGACATAGGTCTGGCAATCCAATAGCGAGGGCGGCGGATTCCATCTTATGTTGTTCTCCTTATTCGTGGTGCGTTTAACAACCATGTGACCTTTTTCCTGATTGTTGATCAGCTGTAACGACAGCAGTCGTAGTGAAATCCCTGTTAAATGAAAATTTTTGACTCATGGTTTTCAAAGCGAAAATTATTTCCTGTGTGGTGATAATGGGACCTTTTCGTCTGTCCAGAGAGAATTCCATATCAGCAAGATATAATGTTGGTAACCGGGACTATGGCAATGATCTCCGCTGGTATACTTCATAAATTTTTTGTTTTGGGCATAACCGGCAGGCCAAGGTCGGCAATCCCGCAGCTAGGTGATCTACATATAAAAGTTAAAAATTTGTGTTTGGGCTTAACCGGCAGACCAAGGTCTGGCCAACACGCCGCGAGGTCAATTCATGCGGCGAAAGAGGCTGCATAGAAAATTCCGGGCTTAACCGGCAGACAATAGTCTAAAAATCCAGCGGCAAAGGAGGCTGCATTAATTTTCCGTACTTAACCAGCAAACAATAGTTCTGACAAAACCTGCAGCTTGGGTGGCCGCAGAAGATTTTTTCGGGCTTTAACAAGCATGTAATAATTCTCGCAAACCAGCAGCGAAGAAGGCTGCAGGAAAATTTTTTATGCCTAACCAGTAGACAAGATTTCTGGCCATCCCAACGCGAGGGCGTCTTGCTGAAAAAACCCGGGCTTAAACGGCAGTCAATATGTCTGGCATTCTGGCAACAAGAATGTCTGTATAGAATTTCCGGGCTTAACCGGCAGACAAAAGGTCTGGCACTCCAACAGCGTGTCCTGCCTCATAAAAAAAAAAAATTGTTGGGCTCAACCTGCCGACAGAATTTCGGCGTCCCAGCCACAGTGTAGGCTGCATAAAATTATTTGGCCTAACCGGCAGACGATATGAATAGCAATCCAGCAGCTAGGAGCCACATAAAAGTATCCGGGCTTAACCGGCGGACAAATTTCCGGCAAACTAACATCGATGAACTGAATAAATATAAAATTCCCGGGCTTAACCGGCAGACTATAATTCTGGCAAGCTGGCGGCAAGGGCAAGGCTGTATAAGAATTCCGTATTAATCGTCGGACAATAGGTCTGGGGCAGCCTAAAATGCCCTGCCTAGGCATGACCTAGCTGGAACATCTACAGGCCACGTTGGGAACAGCGCTGGACACACGCCGACACTTGGGAGGAACCTAGCTTTACATTTAGAACATAAGATACCACTTTACCTTGGAGAAAGTTGAGTAGTGTAGACCGACCCTAGCTTTTCAGCATGTGAGGTTGAAGGGCCCACGGAGTTAAACTCAACCAGGGTGGGGGCTGTGATCGAGGTAGCAATCGTAGTTTCCATAGCTTCTGGAAGTCTCAAGAACACAAGAGTCCTAAGTTTTTCTTTTTTCTTGCGAAGCGAAACGTGTTTGTAGCGGGGGAGGTGGTCTGGTGGCCAGCAAAAAATTTTTCCTTTGACTTGTGAAGCGGAGCGTGACTGGAGCAAGAGAGAACGCATGACCGATTGATTGATGAAGATTGATGAAGATTAAGCCACCCAAGAGGTGGCACGGGCATGAATAGCCCGTAAGTGGTGGCCCTTTCGGGCCATTACCAGTATCAATAGATGATACTGGAGATCTGTGGAGGCGCAACTGCACCCTGCGTGACGGGAGATGTCTCCCGGACCAAGTGGTGACCAAATGGTGAACGCATGATTGATTGATTGATAAAGATTAAGCCACCCAAAAGGTGGCACGGGCATGAATAGCCCGTAAGTGGTGGCCCTTTTGAGCCATTACCAGTATCAATAGATGATACTGGAGATCTGTGGAGGTGCGACTGCACCCTGCGTGACGGAAGATGCCTCCCGTGGGAACGCATGACCTCTCCTCTCTTTTTTATATAGGCCCCCACGGCGCTGCGGATCGCGCTGTGCAACTGTCTTTCTCCTCCATCAGAAATTCCTCCGCATTCCTACATAATGCAGCGGTCATTTATTTCTGGTGTGGTGCTCATGGGTTCTGTTACAACCTTCTATGAAGCTTTTGAGATCAGGATTGGCATTATAGTTTAGCGTTTTATATATGTATAATACACATGAGAGAATGTGCAGTGAATAAACATACTTGAACTTGAACTGTAAATATTTGTGGCTTCCTGACCATAAAGTTACCGCCGCAGTCGAGGGTAAGAGACCGGATGTACCCATATACAAGCCGCACTAGCTATTAGTTCATATAAGCTAACAACTTACCCAGATTTCCTACAACTTTTCCCACACTCGGGACACTCATGAGTTTTATTAACCATATGCAACAGCCCATAATTTTTCATCAATCGAAGTTGACTTAATCTTTTCCCACACTCGGGACATTCATGAGGTTTATCATTTGTATGCACCATAATATGTGTCCTCAAATATCTAAGTAGACTGAATGTTTTCCCACATTCGGCACACTTATAAGGTTTATCAGTTGTATGCACCATCTTGTGACTTATCACATCTCCTAGGCGACTGAATCTTTTTCCACACTCCAGACATTCGTGAGGTTTAACATCCATTTGTACACTCTTGTGATCCTCCATATATTTAGGTTGACTGGTTTTTTTCCCACAATCAGGACACTTGTAAGGTTTATCACCTATATGTATCATCCTATGCCTCTTCATATGTCCGAGTTCCCCGAATCTCTTTCCACACTCAGGACATGTATGAGGTTTATCACCCGAATGCACCAACCTATGAGTCTTCAAACCCTTAATATTGCTGAATGTTTTCCCACACTCAAGGCACTGGTGATGTTTAATATCTGTGTGCACCAACTTATGCCTCTTCATATCCCTATGATGACTGAAGTTTTTCCCGCACTCTGAACAACTGTGAGGTTTTTCACCGGTATGCACCATCTTATGAGCCGTCATAGTTCCAAGTTGATTGAATGCTTTCCCACACTCATATGGTTCATCACCAGTATGCACCATCCTATGATTTTTCAAAGTTTCAACTCGACTAAATGATTGCAGGGGGTAATGATGTTAATTTGTTAAAATTTTAATTTAAACTATTTCACACAGATAGATATATTAGACGAGGAGGGGGAGTAGCCATATATGTTAGGGACAATTTGAAATGTAGTCTCAAAGAGGGAATCAAAACTGAGCCACACACAGAAACTATTTGGATAGAATTAAACGAAAAAGCAAATAATATTATAATAGGAGTTATATATAGGCCACCAAATTTAGACAGAATGGAAGCAAAGCATCTATGGAATGAAATATCTAGGGCATCTAGATCTAACAGTATTTATGTCATGGGTGACTTTAATTTTAGTGGAATAAACTGGGTGAACAAAATAGGGAATAGTGAAGCAGAAGATTTTCTAGAATTAATTGACGATTGCTTTCTTACGCAACACATTAAGGAACCAACGCGGGAAAATAATATTTTAGATTTAGTGTTAACTAACAGGGAAACACAAATTAATGACATCGAAATAGGGAGTGAGCTAGGGAACAGTGATCACAAAGTAATCAGATTTAGCATAGAATGGAATAGACCTGTAGGAGAAAATTCTGTTAAAGTGCCAGATTTTCGAAAAGCTGATTTTAATAGCCTAAGAAGTTTTTTGGGTCAAATAGATTGGAAAGTCTTGGGTATGGGGTGTGGGCCGGTCTTAGAGCGAGACATGAACCCAGCGATAGGTGACGTAAAAGGGGATTTCGATGTGGATTTAATATATAACTTATTTAAGAATATTCTAAACAAAGCACAAGAACGTAGTATACCATACTTGAATAGAATCGAATACTAATGACCCAAAGTGGATAACAAATAATTTAAAGAACCTTATAGGTAAAAAGAGAGCTTGGTACAAAAGGATTAGGAATGGGGAAGTCAGTTTAGAACAGGAATTCATACAACTGGTTAGAAATGTTAAAAAAGAGATAAGAAAGCAAAAAGAAACTATGAAGTTCGCATAGCAGAGCAAGCAAAGTCAAATCCTAAAGGGTTTTTTCAGTTATATCGAACTAAGACTAGGGAAAGGATAGGTCCATTAAAATCTGAGACAGGTCAAATAACGGATAATGACAAGGAGATGAGTAGTATTTTTAACAAATATTTTATATCTGTATTTACTAAAGAAGAACTTAACAATATGCTTTCAGCCGAACAAGCCTATGTGGGTGGGGATGAGGACAGGTTGACTAGTTTAGCAGTTACCACGGAGGATGTAATTAAACAATTAGAAAAACTAAAACCAAACAAATGCCCAGGGCCGGATGAAGTGTTTGCCAGGGTGCTTAAAGAATGCAAAGAGGAGCTTTCCGAGCCACTGTCTACCATATTTAATAAATCAATAGAGTCAGGCAGAGTGCCAGAGTCATGGAAGGTAGCTAATGTTGTACCAATTTTTAAGAAAGGAGATAGATCACTTGCGTCAAACTATCGGCCAATTAGCCTAACGTCTATTGTGGGAAAGTTACTTGAATCAATAATTGCAAATACAATTCGTCTCCATCTTGAAAAACATAAATTAATAAATGAGTCGCAACATGGTTTTACAAATGGCCGTTCATGTTTAACAAATTTGCTAACTTTTTATTCCAGTATAGTTGAGGCAGTTGATAATGGTAAGGATTGTGATGTTGTGTACCTTGACTTTAGCAAAGCTTTTGATACAGTGCCACATGAAAGACTAATTAAAAAAAATAGAAGCTCATGGTATTGGGGGTGCTATATTAACTTGGATTAGGGCATGGCTATTCGTGCCACCACACACTTGGTCCGGGAGACATCTCCCATCACGCAGGGTGCAGTTGCGCCTCCACAGATCTCCAGTATCATCTTTTGATACTGGTAATGGCTCGAAAGGGCCACCACTTACGGGCTATTCATGCCCGTGCCACCTCTTGGGTGGCTTAATCTTCATCAATCATCAAATCTACTCATCCACGGGAGACATTTCCCGTCACGCAGGGTGCAGTCGCACCTCCACAGATCTCCAGTATCAACTATTGATACTGGAAATGGCTCAAAAAGGGCCACCACTTATGGGCTATTCATGCCCAAGCCACCTTTTGGGTGGCTTAAATCTTCTCTCTCTCTCTACTCATCACACCATTTGGTCCGGGAGACATCTCCCGTCACGCAGGGTGCAGTCGCACCTCCACATATCACCAGTATCATCTATTGATACTGGTGATGGCTCAAAAGGGCCACCACTTACGAGCTATTCATGCCTGTGCCACCTTTTGGGTGGCTTCATCTTAAAACATTCACAAGGGAGACATCTCCCGTCATGCAGGGTGCATTCGCACCTCCACAGATCTCCAGTATCAGCTCCTGATACTGGTAATGGCTTAAAATGGCCACCACTTACGGGCTATTTATGCCCGAGTAGTGTAAAGTGCGACTAGAACCGCGCGCACCAGCTGCCAGCTGGTCCTCCATGGAGTGCCAGCCGACAGGTGGAGCGCAGGTGTCTAGTCGCACAGGTTTTTGGGGGATTTTCAGGGAATTTTTGGCGCGTTTCGGACGCGTGTGAGCGTGTTGTGTTTGGGTATGTGGTCATGAAAGAGGGGAGGTCATGTTGATGAGTGCCAGGTGGTGCGCGAGGTCAACGTCGCAGCGCGGGTGTCTAGTCACATAGGGTTTTTGGGGGATTTCCCGGAAGTTTGGCGCGTGGCGGACTTGAGTGGCGGGCGAGCAGGTGCGGTCCCCCACCCCGCGCGCGCGCGCGTGTCTAGTCCTCGGGGGTTAAGGTAAGTGGTCAGGAACGATTGGAGATGTTGTTGTGTGAGAGTAAGTGGTGGAGTAAGAGGAAGGAGAGAAATGAATATGTGTGTTTAGCAAGTGATAGAGTAAGAAAATAGAAGGAAGATGGAGGAAGGAGTAAAAGAGTTGATCGTGAGTTAGTGTGTAGAGGAGAAGGCAATACAGCCTGTTATGTTGTTTTGGGATGGGAGCTGGATGGAGTTTCCCCTTCGTCGGGAGAGAGTGCTCTGGGCCATTATGTGGTTAGACAAACCCATTGACTCCCCTACAGGAAGGTCTTAAGTGATGTTTGTAAGAAATGCATGGAAAAGACACGGGACTGTTGTCTTCAGAGTGGTGATGTTCGCCCCACGGCGGGTCCTCTTACACTGGATTCGTTAAGGAAGGGGAGCGAAGTACATACGACAGACCCACACCTGTCAGCCATCAATCAATCACTCCCACCCCCATCCCCACCCGCTCCCATACCATCAACCATTGTTCTGTGCAAAACCTTTTAGTATGTGTAAGCTATATCGTAACGTGATCAACATGGTGAGAGCAATAACGAGGGAAAAGTAAACACATTATATAAATTTTATTTCTTTATTAAACACTTAAGCGATTTACAACGATAATAATAATAATAATAAGACTTCTTCTTGGTGGTTTAGCTAGCAGACAGTTGTAGAAAGACCTTCATTCAGTCCATCGAACCTTCCCAACACGCTAGTCAAGCAGTCAATCTGTAGAAAGTGGAAAAGGTTATAAGTTTTGTTGTTGTCAATGTTGTAAACATAAATACAGACATTATTGTGTTCATCATTCAATCCTAACATAAAGTATTACTCACCGCACTATCATCCTAGCCAACTTCGTCACACAGCGTTTCACACTCAGCATCACTACCGTTTAAGCAGAATGTTTGCTTACACACAGGCATTTTCATCTGAGCGTAATTGAATTTCAACACTTTTTCATCATTCTTGCGAAAATGACCATATTTAAACGCTTCATCAAAGTGAAGCAGGGCGGCCTCTAAGCCTAGTCTGCAAAAATGATATGCAAAATAAACGGCATAATTCCCACAGAAGTAACTATTCAAGGATTGAATCCTTTTCTTCATAATATATAGGGTATAGTCTTGGAAGTAGGACATAAACTCTTCGAAATATCTTGAATACGTTCCTATTGCAGGATTGGCATAGCTGTCTAGTATAACTATCTCGCTTCTACCTTCATCCTTATTTACATAGAATGTTATCCAATGACCCATTTTATTACGAGAACCCGAGTCCAGAGTGTTCATTATGAACACCACAGGTCTTTTTTTATGTATTTTTGTCAGTATTTTCCGTACGTCATCAGCTAGGAAACATCCTAGATAGTCTACCCTATCACCTAAATTACTTCTGATAGCCTCATTTATTTCCAAACAATTCATATTAGTATTTTATCCTCGCGTATCGCAAATAACGCGACGATCCGCGTTAATGCTGATCACACCCGTTGTAGAGCCGTAAACTAGTATGACTTTATTTCTAGCTACTCCGCGTTTAAATTCCAAAGCGATCCTCAGATTACCACTTTTTTCAATCGGGATGGTGTCATCGATATCCTCGGGTTGTAAATTAAAGGCCAGTATGGTTCCACCATTCACATATGTGTCATAAGATAATATATTGTCTTTATCGAAGCCTAAGGCTTGTAATGCTGTGTAATACAACTTGGCGCAGTTATGAGGGAAGTCACACCCAATATTGACAATATTAGTGCTATTCTGCGATATTAATACTTTACTAAGCTCGCAGTTTTCCAAATAAAGCGGGTTGCGATTATATGCACCAGACACAGCCTCCATATCAAGGATGATCATATATAAATGTTCTGGTATAACAGTCCCCCACGGCTGGTCCATTGTAATAGAGCGTTGACCTGTGCCCAATATATACGTTTTGTATAATGTTTTATTAAAAGTATACGTAATAGGAGAGTTGTTCTGCACCATGGCTTTATTAACTGCTACTAATCCTTCAGGGTATGGCAATACCCGATCCACCCATAGACGTGTAGACTTGATATTATATTTAAAATTAGCATGTTCATTATCGCTGAGTATAAGCCACTTATCAGGTTGAAGTTCGAGCCGCACCCTGATGTCCACATTATCCAAAACGTATTCACTAACGGATGTGACATCCAGCATTAGTTTAAAACACGTATT